AGTTGGACTCCTTTATGAAGAGTCGTAGCTTCTGCTATAAATACTTTGGTGTTGCCGAGGTTGAAAGTAGATGCCTTGATGAGGGTTTCGTTGCTATCTCTGATGACGATTCCTGCTGCTGCTGAATTGTTGCGAACCGAATCGTCGAATTTGAATTTAATTGACAGTATTTCGTCCTGATGTATTAACATCAATAGTATAAAACAATAATATCAAACTTATTAATATATGATCTTGATTATACTTCCTCCGTTTCTTTATAGTTGCAATACTTTCCTAAAATAAAAATGTCACAATAGTTGTAACATACTATAAAAGGAAGGTTTTTAATCGTGAGTGTACTATTACCTTTATTTGAAGCTCATGGCTCACCTGATTATACTCCGAACAACCTCTTAACCCCATTTTAATTGTATTATATCATGTGAGGTATACTTTTCTTAAAAAAAACGGAGTTATGTATTAATTGATTGATTGTATTGAAATAAAATGTGTGTTGCAACTATAAAAAAACGGAGGAAGTATAACTTAATTGATTGATTGAGAATTTAGAGTTATGTATTAATTGATTGATTGTATTGAAATAAAATAAATAATGTAATTTTGGACTTAATTCAAGTAATTGATTTTTAATTTATGCAATTCTTTGATGATTAATTAATCTTTCCTTTTTCTTTGGTAATTGATTAATCTTTCCTTATATCTTAGCTGATTGATTTTTTATTTTTTTTTTCAATAATTTATATTCCAATATATTTTTTTTTCAATAATTTTTATTCCAATTAAGGAAGAAGAATGTTGTGGTCTTTATAGGTGAACACTACAGCCTTCCACTTCATTTGTGTAATAGAAATTAAGGTTGATAAATACATATAAGATAAAATAAAGATTACGAACCAAGATCATTACCATACAACGAACCAACTGTGCCTTACACGGTACAAATGAATTCGTGTTCTCAATTTGTTAATTTGTATGAATGAACAAATTAGTTTTTCTCTGATCTTTTCACCAATCAACTTCACAAATTTGCTAAGTCTATGCAAATAAGAAATTAAGTGAAATGAATATCCTCTTTTGATGCTAATGAGAAATGTGATAATTGGTTGTGGTGCATTACAAGGTACACTTAGTTGTATGATAAAAGCTCCTATATTGTCCAATAATGTCTAATAAATCTAATAAGATAAGATAAGAGTTTTTGGGCCAATAACATAGATATATAAATTAATTGAAATTTGGGTGAAGTAAACACTACCTTATTTGACTCCACACTACCTTATTTGACTCCAAGTATTGAATATTGCGGTAAGCGGTTTGGTTAGCAACTCCATACGTTTGAGTTTAAGGTCATGTTTGGTAATTAGTGAGTAATATTGCTATTATAATTAATTGTATTGACGGGTTTGATAAGCCGAATAGATTAGTTTTTGTTAATTTTTTTCAGATAGTTATATTAGCTATTTTTACTAAGTGTTGGGTAAAATAATTGATAACTTGTAATTAATTACTCATAACAAATTTCATCTAACCCGACTTAAATTCTCACAGACCGGCTCAAAACCAAACTAAATGATAACTCATCGTTGTCACTCAAATATACCAGAAAACAAAATACAAATGTACACTTGATAACTTTAGTTGTGTTCATGTAAGGCGGACGGGGAATACAGTGGCCCATCTAGCTGCTAGATGGGATTTAGGGGATATATTACAACGTGTTTGTATGGATTTAATCCCCCAAAGTTTTCATACTTTGGCGGAGATTGATTTTGATATAGTATTCTCCCGTGTTTGTCTTCAAAAAAAAAAAAAAAAAAAATCTTCAAAAAATTCATAAACAGATGACTTCACAACATTATTGCTTCAATTCTAAAAGTAACTTCACTAAGGTTTTGACTTCACAACATTGCTTCAATTCTTAAAGGATAAAGATGTTATAGCATGATTGCGATTCCATTACATGTTAAGGTTTATATTTAATGTTTCTACAACTATTTTAAAATTTTCTTCAATTATTGAGTTAGATGCTGAGGTACTAAGTTGAGTTAGATTTGTATGTCATGGGACAAAAACAGACAGTTGTGTTTACATCTTATTATTGCTCTTGTCTTGTAGTACTACTATACTGTAGTTTATACACACGTCAACAAAGATTCTAAATTGTGATCTACGTATACAAAGTACGGAGTATTATTGAAAAATTATATATAAATATTAAAATAGAGGTTTGGGCTTTTAGCTCACTTAATAAGGTTCTAACAATAATAAGAATTGAGATATAGTTAGAGTCCTTTTCCTTCATACCATTATCAAAAAAATTATTTAAGCTATTAACCCTAGTAGAATTCTAATTGCTTTCTTATGTTGTGAGTTAAACTCTAATGACAAGCTAATTTATCTTGGAATTCAAACGGTTGTAGCTAAAGATTTGTCTGCAATTTAAAAAGGAAAATACACTTTAATAATCCTAACTATTGCCGATTCACTTTGAATAATCTCAACTAAGGTTTATTTTTTAAATCCTAACTATACCCTGACTTTGCCTCCAATGATCCCAAAAACTAATTATCAGCTGAAAGTGTTTTTTTAGTTTTTTTGTTTTTTTGTTTTTTTTTTTTTTTGTTTTTTAAACGCCACATGTCAGCACATAATTAGCCTAATTTTAAAAAAAATAAAAACAAACAAAAAAAACAGAAATTGATCCCAGCCAACCCCCATTGTTCTCAGCCAATCCACAACCAACCGGCCGGCCACCTCCCTAACCCCTCGAAAATGGCCGCCCGACCCTTCCAACCCCCAAAACACACACCGTATCCACCCAACCCCCTAAACCACTATCCTCCCTTCCCTCCCCTTTGTCGGAAAACCATTCAAACAAAAAAAAATCAGCGCCCCTTCCTCCGCCACCGAAATCGCCCCTCCTCCCTTTCCCCACCCTCGAAATTGGCCGTATTGGCGGTGGGAGAAGGGAGGAGAAGCGGTTATGGTGGCGGATCCAAGTAGGGGAGGGTTGTTGTGGGTTAGGTTGGTGTTTTTGGGGTCGAGGTGGGCTGGGTCGGTGGTTTCGGAGGTTGGGGTGGGTTAAACGGGTGGTAGAGGGCCGGCCGGTCGATTTTGTGGTTAAGGGGGGTGGCTGGCCGATTTCTGATGGAGGTTAGGGTTTGGCTCGCGGTGAGGGTTAGGGTGGCTAACTGGTTGTGTTTTAGGTTTTATTTTTTTTGTTTTTTTAAATTTGGACCAATTACGTGTTGACACGTGTCATGGTCATATGTTATAACAGGTCATTGACCCATTGAATGACCGGTTGGGATCATTAGAGGCAAACTGATCCCATTGTTAGGATTATTAAAAAAAAAAAACCTTAGTTGGGATTATTAGAAGTAAATCAGCAATAGTTGGGATTATTAAAGTGTATTTTTCCTTTTAAAATCACTAACTACTAGCTTGATTATGGGAGTTAAAAATTAAAATTAGCTTGGACAAAAGTTTTCAAAATATAGGAGATTAATAAACTAATAAATTAAATGAATGAAATTTAAAAAGCTAATTGAGAAAGTCAACCTAAATTTTAATTTATAATTTTAGTTAACAATATTTTTCTATCTAATTAATATTACCAAGCTAATTTTAGCTACACAAAGCAAAATTGATTGCCAAAGCTAATCAATAAGACATGTAAATATATATTAATTACTATATTAAAATAAAAATTTTAACGTTTGCAAGCAAATTCCTTTTGCCAACCATTAGAATTAGTAATACTCGATCCCCTTCTTCATAGTGTCATATAGAGTGCTCCTCTATCCCTTATTTTTTGCCCATTATAAATATATGGCTAAACTTTTACAACTTTGACTAAGAATTCTTGTCAATATATAAGTGATAAAATATGCAAGTGAGATCTTGTTAGAATCGCCTCATTGTATATTTTATTAATATCAAAAAATTATAATTTTTATGCTTATAGTAATGGAGATATATTAGTTACACTTTGGAGACTGTGAAAAGTCAAATGAGGCAAAAAATAAGGGATGGAGAGAGTAGGTTATTTCTCATATGCTCTCAAAGTCCCAAGAGGTACATAGTACAGTAATATTCATATTACTATGAGATTCTTACTTTCGATTAAAAATCCTATAGGAGGCATAGTATTTTAAGGTAAGGAGAAGGGCCCGGTTTAACCTCTCACAGGTCAATCCAATCTAGGTTATTAGGCAGATCAGTTGAAAATTGGGGAAAAGGGTAATGAAATCTCCATCGCAAGTGCCTCTAGTGGATTTGATTCCAATAACCTCTTGGGTGTGAGTCTGTGAGATAACAAACCTACCACTAGTCTATAGGAGGTATTTGGTTAGCTAATTGGCATGAGGCCAGGAATGTATATTATTCTTTTCCGAGTATTTCGTACTTGAACCACATCCAGCTTCTCCATACTTTATGAGCTTTAGGTATGGATTTAAACACCTAAATTTTGGTATAAAAATGGACAGTTTTGCCTAATCCAATTGGCATTTCGTTACTCGTATCGAGAGTGATTTCAAGAAAAGGAAGTTATGTCATAAGGAAAGAGGTAATAACAGTAATTTTAAAAAAGAGCGAAGGAACCAGTATAAATATTTTACGACTTCTCCACATTTAATTATTTTGCAAGATATTTTCACCAGCGGCGGCAAGCTTACTAAATTTGTACTCATAACGATAACTATAAAAATTCAAAGAATACACTTTCTCCATTTTCCATTTGGGTTTGAAAAGAACTAATAATTGACCAAAAATGCAATTAATCGGAAACATATGTACTAAAATAGATCTACAATAGTTGTACAGAGTAACAAATAATGTGAAATGATAATTGATCCTTACCAAATGAAAAATGCGGTAAATTTCAAATTAGATTTGAAAGGCAACTGGTTGCAATTAATTTTAAATTGCCGTAAATGGCAACGGTTGGAATTGATCGAAAACAAGAATATTAATTTGCACGTCTACGGAGTATATAGTAAAGACGAACTAACCTGCTCCACATCATAAACACATGCAGATGTTAAAAAGTGAACACTAGTAGATTGAATCTAAACACCTTTCTATGTCAAAATTCATCATAGATCACAAACAAAGATTCTATTTAGCAACACAAAATGCTGGCAGAAACTGGCTAATGTCATAAATTGAAGCTCACTTTTTAGAAGTTTAACGAACATTGGAACAAAAAATTTCATGGAATGTAGAAACCCCCTTAGATAATAGATACGTAGCCTACACCTTGATGGCATACTTCCTCATGGGATAGTATCTCTCCCTCTTCTTCTCCCTTTCGGTCTTCAAAGATGCCTGAGAAAAGAAAGAGAGAACTACACATTTTAAGACCTCATTATACTAAAATAAATTTAATGAACATGTTTACAACATTGAATCTCTATCCTAGAATAGACTTTCCAACACCAAAATAAGGAACGAAAAGTTATAACACTTTCACTTTGATTAGATCATTTGGGGCATGGACTCTTTCATGTGACACTAACAAATACCATCAACATCAAATGCTTCAACAGCTCATCAGGTTGGGCAAGAGATTTATGGATGATTGAACACGTTTACAGCATAAAACCTTCTATCTCAACTCTACCACACCCCAAAAAAGGAATGACCAGCAATAACACTTTAATTAGAACACCCGAGACATGGACTCTTTCATGTGATACACTGATACATGCAAATAGTGTCAATATCACACTCCTCCACGGGGTATCATATTGGGGCATGACAATCAACGTCGCTTACCACCAACAGAGATCAACAGTTAAGCTTAAGATGTAAATGAAAATCATTCAAAACAACACATTGATTTCAATAATCTGCGCTGAAATCAAAATTAATCCAACCCCTTATTCAAGGTGTAAAGATATAAATGAAAATCATTCAAAGAATGGCATTTCAGAACACAAGCTTGTGCTTCCCTAAACCCTATACTGTTTGATGTGACACATGCAAATGGCAACAATGTCGCAACAGCTAAACAAGTTGAGCAAGGGAAGCAATGAAGCATACACTCAAAGTTTGGTTGATGGCAAAATACTAACCTTCTCCGACAAGAGGTCAACAGCTATGCGTAAACAAGAGAATTAAAATCAGAACTATCATGCCTACAAACTGACATAACTATTTTCTCATAAACTTCGTAGAAATTATCATAACTGCCACAACTCCTTCCATTCTAACATATCCAACAATGCAATTTAGAATGATTACCACCTCCTAAATGTCTAATACTCGTATTATATGAGCATCTCCATCAGGTCAATTCAAATATTCATGAAAAGTTTTGTTGACAAGTGATGTACTTTGGCTTGTAGCACTGCACAGCTCACATCAGCTTACACCTCTAAACTTAACAAACTCCCTAACCCTTCTTTTTTAAATTTTCCCTTCTTAATTAAGGTTCAAAATCTAGAGCTCATAGGCTCAAATAAACAGGAACGGGTCGAAAAGACGGGTAAAAAAAAACTGCCAATAAGAGAGGTGTTTGGAGCACCACATATGACCTAGCTTAAAAGCTAAATAAATGACAAGACAAATAAAATCCATCTTCAAAACAACACATTTATTTCAATAATATATGCAGAACTAAAAATTAATCCAACCCCTTATTCAGGGTGTAAAGATATAAAAGAAAATCATTCAAAGAGCATTTCAGAACACAGCCTGTGCTTCTCTCAAAACCAACAAAAATTTGTAATTTACCCATGCCTCCCTATAGTTACCGAACCTAATATACTAGCGTGCAGCCGCTTCACTCGTACTAACCATTACCATCACTCTTAATATTAATGTAAAAAGAATCAATCAAATGACATAGCACTTCAACATTCAACCTCAAAATCAAAATGCCAATGACAACCTTAATTCCCTTCAATCTAATCTATATAACATAGACGTAAATCCATTTCACTCAACATTCAACGACATACTAATACAATCAAACCCAAATACAATGTGCAATAATGAATGTAGATTCAAAACCTCACAATATTATCCACAACAACACAATAAACAAATTTATATATTTAATTGAACAAATCAAATTGGCAAAACAGTATAACATGAGATAGAAATAATACCTGATGCTTAGTGAGGCGACGACGAATGGCACGGGTCTTCTTGGGACGAAGATCAAGCGGCAAGAACTTCTTCTTCTTGTATGCTTCCCTCAATGCCGACTTCTGCTTCTGTGACATCACTGTCAATACTTGCGCAATCCCTAATCTCACCACCTTACTGCAAAAACCCCAAAAAAACCCAATTAATACAATCAAATCATACAAAAAAACCCTATAATTGAAAACCCTAGAAAATTGAAATCAAAACATACATCTTTGAGAGCTTGTTAGGAGCACCGCCGGTAACCTTAGCAACACGAAGAAGAGCGAGCTCAGCCTTGAGATCCTTGAGCTGATTCAACAAGTCAGCCTTAGGCTTCTGCCTCAACTCATGGGGTTTGATTCTTGCTGCAAATTTTAACACAAAAATTGTTAAATTGAATCAAAAACTAAAGTTTGAAGACATTGAATAAGCTTGAATTCATCGAAAATGGAGGAGAGAGAAAGAGAAATCGTACCCATTTCTGCGCTTCTGAGGTGAGTGTTTGCTGCAACAACGGCGAAATTGAGAGAGTGGAAACCCTAGAAGAAGAAATGGCTCAGCTATAAAAGCAGGGTTTATGGTGATTGGGTTTTATATGTATTGAGGGCCTTGGGTTGTTCAAAATATATTGATGGGCCTATAATTGTATAAGGTCTTCTTAGTGCTTAGGGCTAATGGTCTGTTGTAAACTGTGCAGAAAGAATCGTAGAGTCGGTAAAAACTGACACAACATAACTCGAGTCTCACTTACTCGTATAGCCGGCTAAAGGTGAATCAAGTGGATATAAACATTGTAAATCAGGAATTTTTTTATTTTTTTTTTTTTTGGTAAAGGAAAGGTCCTATCGGGTCGGAACCTCTCATAAGTCTTACCGGGTCGGAGCCTCTCACAGGTCCCCTCGATCCGGGTTAGTGGACTAGGCACTTTAGAAGTGGGAGGGGGGAAGGGTAAAGGAATCTCCACCCTAAAGTGTCTCTAGTGAGGTTTGATCCTACAACCTCATGATTGTGAGATATAAACCTTATCACTACACCAAGTTATGCTTGGTATAAATATTGTAAATTAGTTGTAAATAATCAAAAGTGAACTTAATATAAATATAATTTATCGTTTTTTTAAAATGTGTGATCTTTAAAATACAATGCAGTAAATATTTTACTCAAATGTGTGAAATTAACTACTCCCTCCGTCTTATAATACAATGTCTCTTTTCCTTTTTGGGTAAACCAAAATACAATGTATTTTTCTATTTAAAGGTTGTACTTTTTGAGATTATTATCTTTTTTTGATAAACTGTCATTTTTTTTTTCCTTTTTTTTTATACCAAGTATTTTTTTCTTTCTCTCTATCTCTCTCTAACCAGATGCACATATGTACTTCTAATCATTAGTTTTACGGAGTTTTCAAATTTCTTAATTCCCGCGTTAAAACCCAAAAAGACATTGTATTATGAAACAGAGAGATTACTAAATTTAAAGTACCCAAAAAAAAGTTGAAAGTTACTCGTAACCATATTTGGATAATAGTTATATGAGTATAGCCTTTTGATTGTTGATATGGTCGATCCAAATCCTTTAAAAGATGGTATTGGGTCAAATTGGTTTTCTTTTAAAGTTATGCAAATAAATTGAGTTTAGATCATATTTTGGGGTCTAGGTTTTTTAAAAAGTTTTGAGTTTAGGGTCCAAGTTTATTGTAGTTTGTGTTTGGGTGGTCTTTTTAGGCCAAAATTAAATCTAATATATATAAATAAAGTAGGCATTTTTGAAGAGCATTCAGAGCACCACGTAAGAAATATACTTATTTCGACCAATAAGAAGAAAGATTTGTATTTTATTTTTGAATTAAAAAATTATGTCGCCACCTAGATAAAAGTAACGAATTAGATTTGATATATCTAAAATTTTAATGCCACGTAGATTATAATCCACGAAATAAATTATTTTAATGAAAAAAAATAAAGTAAAAATATAGGAAAAGATAAAATTATTAATTCAATACTACGAGTATAAGAAATCCAAAAAAAAATATATTAAAAAATATTTAAATGATAAACGCTTGTAATAAAGTTTGATACCTATCATTATAAGATAAATTTTGATAGTATTTATGATAAGAAATACAAATTGTTCGTCAATTATAATTAAATTAAAATTTGTGATACCTACTATTATAAATTGACACATCATACGACACAAACAAAATTTCATATCAATAAAAAACCCCATCAAGCGAATTTTGTGTTAATAATTTTGCGTTAATTTTTGGTCATCAATGGCCGGGTAATTTTTAGCTTAATTTTTAAAATCCTATGTTTAAATTACACTACTAGAAATAGGCCGAATTCCGACGGACATGTTTTTCCGTCAGAAATCCCATAAATTCCGACGGATTTTTTAATCTGTTGGAAATTTACGACGGACTTCCTACGGAATAAAAATCTGTTGGAATTTATGGGCTTTCCGACGGAATATTCCGTCGGAAATTTGACGCTTCGACGGAAATAAAATCCGTCGGAAATTTCCAATCGGATTATTCAGTCGGAATATTAAATTTCCGACAGAAGTAAAATCCATCGGAATATAATTAAATAATAATAAAAAAAAAGTCCCCTTAAAAACCTAAAAGAACCCTAAAAACCCTTATTCTCTCTCCTCTCCTCTTCTCTCCCCGCCTCTCTTCTCTTTCTCTCTCCTCTCTTCTTTCCTCTTCCCCTCTTTCTCCTTCCTTTCCGGCCTTCTCCTTTCTCTCCTTCCTTTCCGGCCTTCTCCTTTCTCTCCTTCCTCGGCGCCTCACTCCTACTTCCTCTCCCCCTCTTTTTCCTTCCTCTCCTTCTCCCTCCTCTCCTCTTCCCTCTTTCTCTTTCCTCTTCCCCTCTTTTTTTTTCTTTTTCGTTTCGTTTTCTTTGGTTTTCAACTCAAGGTAATTTCAAGATTTTCATGTCAAATTCGATCATGAAAACTCTAGATCTAGAGTTTTCATGGTCGAATTTGACCTTATAAACCCAATTTCAACGTTTTTTTTTTTTGTCAAATTAAGGTATGTGTCTCTTTTTTTTCTTCTTAATTTTGATTTAAATTAACTTGTTGATTTTTCTGATTTTTTTGAAATATATGGTGTTGGTGAATTATGGATTTTTTTTTGGGTGGTTTCGGTGGTTGTTTTTGGGTGGTGAGGTGGGTTTCTATGGTGGTGAGGTGGGTTTCGGTGAGGTGTTGGGTGGTTTCAGTGAGGTGGGTTTCAGTAAGGTAAGGTGGGTGGGTGGGTTAAGGTGGTAGGTGGGGAGGTGGGTTTCGGTGAGGTGGGTGGGTCTGGTGAGGTGGGGAGGTGGGTTTCGGTCAGGTGGGTAGGTCTGGTGAGGTGGTAGGTGGGTGGGTCTGGTAAGGTAGGTTAAGGTAGGGAGGTGGATTAAAGTGAGGGGGGCTGGTGGTGGGGTGGTGGAGGCGGTTTTTTTTTTTATGTTTTTTTATTGATTTTTCCGATGGATATTTCCGTCGGAATACACCTCTTCCGACGGGAATTTCCGTCGGAATATACCTCTTCTGACAGAAATTTCCCTTGGAATCCTCTCCAACTCCGACAGAAATTTCCGTCGGAAAATTACAACGGAATTTCGTTTAAAGTCAAAACCAGCTCCGACAGAGTGGATTCCGTCGGAAAAGTGGCTTCCGACGGAATTTCCCTCGAAAAACGTCGAATTTCCTACAAAGGGTAGTGCGACAGACTGATTCCGACGGAATTCCGTCAGAAGGCCGTTTTCCGACGGATTTTCCGATGTTTTCGACGGAAAAAATTCCGTCGGAATCCAGCTGTTTTCTTGTAGTGTTAGTATTTCTAATTATTACTTACATTGTATTAATTTGGGATACTCAACAATTATATGTTTATGTTTAATTACTAAATGTTGTTTTACATGCAGATCTAACACATCATACGACACAAATAAAATTTCGTATCAATACAAAACTCCATCAAGCGAATTTTGTGTTAGTAATTTTGTGTTAGTTTTAGGTCATCAATGCCCGGGTTATTTTTAAAATCTTATGTTTAAATTTATATTTGTTATTATTAGTTACATTGTATTTATTTAAGATACTTAACGATTATTTGTTTATCTAATGGCATACGATTAGATGTTGTATACTTAATATATGGATGACTTTGGTTGTTATTGGAGATGATGAAAAAATTTCAATGCATAGATTTGTTTTGATATCGCAACAATTTTTCATTTATTGGTAATATGTTGATTTATTTTATATAAATGTAAAGATTTAATTTATATCAATTTTAGTTTGGCTAATGTTTCGGGGTTTTCTGATGTCCTGCGGGAGAGCTACAATTCCGAGACTGGAACCGGACGCCTGTACCTGCAAAATAACGGAGACTCCTGAGAGCTCCGCCTCCAACGGTCAAGTTAGTACCTGATTAAGGAGTAATTAATACAGAAATTAAAGTAATAAGGTCTCTCTAGGTGAGAGTATTTAATGTAGGTAATCTGCTTTGCTAGCGAGATCAGCCGGTTATTAGTGTGTTCCGTAATGTTTCTCCTCTGTTCTGTTAATTATTCGGTCCCCCGATTAATGAGGATTAATCGAGTATTTATAGCCTTGGGAAGCGTGCAACTCTCTAGGTTTAAGGTAAACCTAGGGCCGATCGGGCTTCTAGACTGAAATGGGCCTTGATGGCCGGTTGTCCCATTTGGCATGGGTGGACACGTGGCGTGTCTTAAGTGGTCCGTGGAGGACGCGTGGCGGAACCTGGTTGGTCCACTTGTCAAACGGCGCTTGGTGGATAAAAATCCCCTAATCATTTGCCCCTCACAGGTGGCACGCGACTGGTCACGTGTCGCCTGTGACAGGCGTCGCACGGTGACAGGCGACGGCCCGTTACAGGTGTCACCTTGCAGACGGCCGGGAGACTCTCCCGCCCAAATTTGAATTCGGAAGCGACCCTTCGCCTTCTCATTTTGCCTATAAAAGGAAGTGCTGACTTCGGTCATTTTCACATTTGAGAATTTTTGCGAGAACATTCGGACCCCTGAACTTGCTCTGACATTTTCGGACTTTTTCTGCCTACCGCCTGTTCTGACAAGCCGACTGACCCGAACTTTCAGGACTTCATCAACTGTCATCCGTTCAGGTAACTCAGTTCTCTTACTCTTAATTTTCTTTTTATTTTTTGAAATGGCACCATGGAAGCACACGACACGCCCTAAGTTAGTGATCAGCCGGTCACCGGGGACGGCTGAATCTAGGACTAGGAGTGCCGCCTGCCCTTTTCTGGACCCATCTTTACCCTTTATACAAAGTCCGACTGAATCTGTGTCTATGCAGAACGTGATGGCCAGAACAAAAAAGACTGCTAGAATATCAAACTCAGACGGCTCCTCCCAAAGGGTACTCCTTAGCGAAACATCTGACCAGGCGCCAGATGTGGAACGAGGCGACTGTCAAGCTGACAGTTCTGAGAGAGGGACCAAGGTGTTCCCTTCTCATCTAACCGTGGACATGTCTAATTTACCTTCTGCTCCTTCTAAGGGAGAGGAGGCGGGCCCCTCTAGGAGAGGAGAGGCGTCGTCCTCTTCGGACTCGTCAGGGGACGAGTCCGATTCCAGCTCTTCTGACCA